TAAAATTAAAACTTTTCATGTCATGTGACACACATAATGATTAGCAGTCACTTCACAATCAGATAAACTACCGTGATATTAATATTTTTGAAAGAAGTCTCTTCTGCTCACCAAGGCTGCATTTATTTGTTAAAAATTTCAGTAAAAACAGTAAAATTGTGAAATATTATTACAATTTAAAATAACTGTTTTCTATGTGAATATATAGTCAAATGTAATTTATTCCTATGATAAAAAGCTGAATTTTCAGCATCATTACTCCAGTCTTCAGTGTCACATGATCTTCAGAAATCATTCTAATATGTTGATCTGCTGCTCAAGAAACATTTCTGATTATTATCAGTGTTGAAAACAGTTATGCCGCTTTATATTTTTGTGGAAACTGTGATACATTTTATTTTTCTGGATTCTTTGATGAATTGAAAGTTCAAAAGAACAGCATTTATTTGAAATACAAATTATTAGAAATGTTTTTATAGTCACTTTTGATCAAGTTTGGTTGTTTTTATATGATGCCACATCAGTTTAAATCGGCAGAAAAAAAAATAAAGTAGCTGCTGCTATTTTGTGTCTAAATGTCAGTTACTCAATATTAGCTTCTTTTTATTGAACTGTTGTATAAAACACGCTGGAAATCATGTACTGATTATGATACTTGGCAGAACAACACTACTTAAAAAAGCATAAAGCATTTTCTTTAAATGTACTGGCTGTCTCATTCTTTCTTCTCAAATGAAACATAAGTCGTTTGGACATTTGGACATAAATAGATTTTTATCTTCTGGCACGGTGAGGTCATGCCACCATCATCTAGCCTTTAATGATGATGGAGTGTTTTGGTTTCTGTCTGTATTTAGCAGATCAGTATGAATGTTTCTTACGAACTGAGAGACCACATAAATCAGCAGCCGCTGACTGTGTTCTGGGACGAACTGCAAGAAAACCCACCATCCTCCCACACGCATCTCTCTGCTCCTCTACCTCAGCATTTCACATCACACTCATCGTCTAAACGCTTCGCCACCGATCCACTGCCATGTGCACATGTTGCTACTTCATCAGAAACTCTTATTTTGTGGTCAGCGATCTGAAGTTTGAGTCCTGGACACCTGGAGGACTTTATTAGATGGATGGATGGATGGATACACTGTAAAAAATGACCGTGAATTTAACGGTAAAAGACTGTAAAAATGCTACAGTAAAAACCTGTTAAACGGTTAAAGGTAAATTCCCCTACTATATACGGTGAAAAACTGTATTGGACATTACATGTATTGGACAGATAGATAGATAGATAGATAGATAGATAGATAGATAGATAGAAATCATATATATTCGTGCACTTTCATGTGAGCTGTCATGTTCTTGATTTAGACAACTCTTGCATTGTGATTCTCCTATAAGTGACCAGTGGAAACTTTGTCTTTTCCATGGCAACCGGCAGCTATTTGCACTAATTTGCAAAAGAAAAGCTGTGGAAGTGTAGTGTGCTCTGGGAGAATGTTATATTTGGTCTTTCACAGTAATAGAAGTCTCATTATTTAGCCTCTCAGTGCACCGGGAAACCGAGCAAACAGACTGAGTGACCCTTTGTCAAGCACCTCGTCCCCTCTCAGGATCATCGCGGCCCTCAGCCATCAAATGGCACAGAGCAGCACGGAGAGGCCAGGCGGACGTCCCTCAAGTGGCCTTCACTGAGTTAGTAAAACAGATCTGGAGGCATAAAAGAGGACACACTCGGGGTGGAATTAAGAGACATATTAAAACAGCAGGACTGGGATCATGGACTGCTGCCAATAGGATCTAACTTCACGGATCTGACCGGATTTGGCAATCCGCATGACCCGGACAAACCTGGCCACCTCTTCGAAAGCAACAGTGGGTTTAAATGCATGAAGTCTGATCATGTGCTGTCTAATCACAGTGCATAGGCTCTAAAAGTATGGATATGCAAAAGTCATTTCTGAGTCCTGCAATGCTTGATTTGGTCACTGATGTGGACTTCATGGAGATGATGCCAAACACACCCGTTCTGGCCCCAAAGGAGACACACAGCACCGACTGCAATGGACTGTACCAGGACTTGACATCCATCCACGCGCTCGACATCTCGACAGCTCGATCGAATGACTTTTACGCGCTGTCATCGAGCACCGCGTCTCCCGTGAACTCCAGCAGCGGGAAACCCAAACGCAAACGGGTGATCAGCAGCGTCCAGCGCCAGGCCGCGAACATCCGCGAGCGCAAACGGATGTTCAGCCTCAACGACGCGTTCGACCGGCTGCGCAGAAAGGTTCCCACGTTCGCCTACGAGAAGAGACTGTCACGGATAGAGACTCTGCGCCTGGCCATCATCTACATCGCCTTCATGACGGATATTCTCGAGAACAACTGAACTCATAGTCAATATTTCAATCCCATTGTTTAGATGAACGTTTATCGAGGTACTTAAAAGTTTATTATGGAAAAAAAAAGGATTATAATGTTTATTTCTCTGTCATTTCGGCCTACCTTTATGGCATAGGTTCTCTATGCTGCAATGGTTGCAGGAGTTAATCAATAAAATTTGGACTAGAAAAGATGTTATGTAAAACTGTAATATTTCATAACGTACGCTCTTAAAAATAAAGGTTTCAAAAGGCGTTTTGGGGTTTTTCAAAGAACCTTTCGTTGAACAGTTCTTAAAAGAACCATTTTGAGGTGTGAGGAACATTCTAAAAATCTAAAGAACTTTTTTTTCGCTATAAAGAACATTTTGTGGAATGGAACGGTTCTGTGGATGTTGAAGCCAATAAAAATAATGCATTTTTTTAAAAGCGTATCTGACTTATTGGGGTTTTACAGCTGAAAGGTGCTTTAGTCTAAAACTTCTGTATAGGAATTATCCATTATGATCTTAGTTGACTTCTAATCCTTTTGGATATTGCGTCATATTTATCAAAATCCGTGTTGGAATAACGTTTCGCTACTAATCTCATCTGTAGAAATCCAGAAATACTCAAAAAGTAACTTTTCATGTCCAAAGGTGGTGTTTTGGCCTATTGATAATAAGCCCATGTTATAATTCTATTTAAAAAAAATACCAATATGATTGTTTATTGGGTTGGTTCTAAATAATGATACATTTCCAATAGGGATTCTTCACAAATTGTTGCATTTATTTTGGATTTGGAGGTGGTTTACGTTATAATTATATTTTAGAAATCACATTAGGATCCTTTAGCATTGGTTCCAAATTACGGTACATTTCCAATAGGAATTTGAGACAAATCGTTGCATTTATTTTGGATTTCTGAGATTATGTTTGGGTGGTTTTGAGGTGTCTATTACATTAAACAAATATTTTTCTTAGCTTTGTAATTGTTTGTGAAATGTAGGCTACTAGCAATTTCTGAGTGAACATTTTTTTCTACACCAAATTATTTTTTATTGTAGTTATGTGGATTTGTTTCAGGACCGTCGACAGATCTCAATGGACACCTATTACAGGTAAAACAAGAACAGGTGCGCCGCACTAGGATGACCATAGATGTGACACTTTTGTATTAAACTCTACATTTTGAAACAGAACATTCCAAGTCATTTCGATCAATCAAATACATAAAAATATAAGCGCATATTTATCTGTCATCTGTGTGTTTGGGGTGAATCTTCAAGTCACATCACAGTCAGATGTAAGCTGCGCATTCGCACGATGGCACGCATGGATATGTTTCGTCAGTGCGCCTCCTTGCGGAGTCTTTAAACCATGGCTTTTTACACCTAAAAGGGAGCGTTTCTGCGGTCTTGTGACACGAGAAGCCTTTTAGTGGTTTAAATTTGAATGTATAATGCTTCTGTGTTCTATAACATTTACAGAAACGTCAGTTTGTGCGGCTAAAGCGGGCTCTTTGGATGTATGTGAAAGCAGAAGGCCGGTTCGGGGAGCGTGTTTGTGTTGGACTGAAGCGGCCACACAGTTTGCGCGTCGTCTGCGCTTGGCGACCCGCTGCGTATGAAAACGCTGCAGAAGGAAACCTGACTCTGCAATAACACTAACACAGACATGCATTTCAGAACATGTTCAAATAAACAATGAGGTCTACTTAGAGAAACCAGATTCGCTCTTTTCTTTTACAGTGACTTGAGGTGGATTTCAGAACGACACAGTTCTTCACAACTGCCAGCGCGCAAACTGGCAGTAAATGATATTAATACATTAACGGCATGATTAATGCTTTAAACGTAACGCATCGCTACTGACCAAAGAAAACCTTAATTTTAAACTTTTTAAGCGCATTTTTGGTCCAACATGGCCAGATCGCAAATAATCTCCTCACTCATTCCAGAAACCACATTGAAATCTGTCCAGCTGAAAAGCCCTTTTAATGATTACATATGAATCACTAATGGATTTGGCCAAAGATTCAGTACTGAATGTTTCAGTTATATACGATTTTAGTGTTTGATGTGTTTTTAAGAAATTAATTAAATTCTTGTTCGATTCTATTCTGAATTACAGTTCAAACATCTGCAGAAGACTATGAAGCTAAATATGTCATCAGTTCATCAGCTCATTTATCAAAATGAATCATCAGCCTACTATAAATTTGTCATCGCATGTTTCAGTATTTTTGTTGGATCACACTGATGTGTTCACAGTTTTGACATGATGCATGTTTGGTATCATTTTGAATATGTTTTGCAATACGTTAAAATCCGAAAATAGATTCTATTCCATATTTGAATTCCATAAACATCAGCATTGCTTTAAGAATGAATATGTCATCCGCGCGCACGTCCTGTTTAGTTTAAACGCAGCGCTGTGATTGGCTCAAATGTTCGCGTTAATTAACGACTTCTTGTATAACAGAAACCTTTTGGATCGCGCTCCTCTCCCGCCTCTCCCCTCTTACGTCACCGCGCTTCTCGTCCAATCGCAGGCCAGCCCAAAAAGTTTGCGCGTTCCAGACTATAAGAGCCTCCAAACTTCCCTTCAAGTTTGAGAAACACCTCCGTGACGCACAAGAGGAGACACCCCGAGAAAGGGACCCCGTTCCGCCGGACAGAGGGAAACTATTATATATTATCTGCGTTTTCCAAACATCAATGTTTGAGGAAGAGGCGATGCAAGAGGAGTCCAGCTCCCCGGAGTCTCCAGTGGACAGTCTGGGGAACAGCGAGGAGGAGCCCGACAGGCGACAGCAGAAACGCCGCAGCAGGAAAAGACGCCCGAGAAGGAAGAGCGGCGAGGATTCGGACAGCCCGACGCCCGGGAAGCGGAGCAAAAAGTGCAGCAGCGGCAGCGGCAGCGGCAGCCCGCAGTCTCTGGAGGACCTGCAGACGCAGCGCGTCATGGCGAACGTGCGCGAGCGTCAGAGGACTCAGTCTCTGAACGAGGCGTTCGCGTCGCTGCGCAAAATCATCCCCACGTTACCCTCGGACAAGCTCAGCAAAATACAGACGCTCAAGCTCGCTTCCCGGTACATCGATTTCCTGTGTCAGGTCCTGCAGAGCGACGAGCTGGACTCCAAAATGTCCAGCTGCAGTTATGTGGCGCACGAGAGACTCAGTTACGCGTTTTCCGTCTGGAGAATGGAGGGCGCGTGGTCCATGTCAACATCCCACTAATGCACGGATGCGCGCTTTCGGTGCAGCACGGTATGCAGAGCAAAACTTCACAAGTCACTCGACAACAGTCAAAAGTTTGGACACACTTGACTGAGTGATTGATTTGAAAAACTTAAGACTTAAAAGCTCGTGTTTAAATGTTTCACATCAATTGACTAATAGGCTATAAATGATTATAGGGTAAATTCATGCAGGATAATTGTCATCTCGTTGGATGATATTGTGTTCCAATTTACTTGAATTCACCCCTGTATATTTATTATATGGTGATGGGAAACCAACTTTAAAAGCGCCCCAGGATGCACCTTATGAATGTCCAAAGTGAGCTGAAATCTAAAAGAAGCTCAAATATAAAGGAGTTTTCGTTTGTGTCACATGTTTTGGTCACTACATCATTCCCATCCTTCATAATCTGTGCTATTTCTGAGTTTGAATGATTTTACTTTTATTCTGCAACGTAGAAAAGAGTCATGAGCAGATGTGTCCAAACTTTTAAATGTTAACCGTAAGTTCCTCAAGATGCTTAAATGGATCTTTGTGCCGATGGTTAAGGTTCTCCTGCGTTTTCAAAACACGGTTCTATAAAAAAGGCTATTTTTGCACTAAAAAGAGTTCATCATTTAGAAAAATGTTTTTTTTTTTGGTGCTTTTTTCAAACTGTTATTTTATTTTTATTTTTTTCTGGCATACAAAAATACTATTAAAGCTATTAAATTAAACCGTATTGTAATATTAAATCGTGTTGTACCGTCTCAAACACTTTTATCTTTGTTTTTTTCAGATTTTCGGCCTTGAGGAGCTGAACTCACTGGAAGGAGCGACACGAAACAATGGCGAACATAGGGATTATAAAGGGAAGGTTCTGGAGCGTCACGACGCCGTTGCGAGCACTTACAGACACGGGACCAGGAATTACAATCAGATCTGTGCTGTTGTGACGGCGAATGTGGAAAACATGTGCTTCTGTCTCTAGACCAACAGAGAGACTCGCCGCGCTTCTGACAGCAGCCGTCATATTTATTACAGAACGAATGAAGGAAATATGGAAGAAACTCGGCTCATAACACTTTCTCTGACTGGTCCTAGAAAATACATTTATTTATTTATTAATGATTGTCACAATGCAGAATAGATCTGGTGTCTATGCATTTTCTATTTTAAATACGATGTACATATGTGTATATTTTCTGCAATAAAACATGGTTTGAAATGTACTTATATTAGCATGTTGTTATTGCAGTTTTATGCATTATGGATTTTTAAAAAATACATGAAAACAAACGACAATAAGCTTTTACACATAAACAAATGCAGTAATCATTCGATAATATAAAAAAAAAAAATGAAAATACTCTTGCCTGATTTGCAGTTATTACATCAATTTTTAAAAGATTAGTTCTATTTTGTCATTAACATATAGGACTGCTCAGCCAGTTTACATATGCCAGTTTTGTTTTTCTAAAATATACATATATGTATTTTTTTTTTTGTCGCAAGGAAAGTATTTTAAACTATTTAACAATAGAATTTCGAAAGTTACAATTTAGAAGACTTATTCTAAACCAGAAATGATGCTCATGTTTTAATTAGTTTTTTTCGTTCAGAATGTTTAATTTTATTTAGCACTTATGATTTAAAACATTTGAACGAAATAAATGCACAAACTGTTCTAATAACTGGACAAATTGTGTTACACAGAAATCATGTTTGCATGTTATTTTCTACTATAACAAATAACAACACTTAAGAAAATAAAAGAACATAGGAACGAATAATTCTTCCTGTAGTAATTAAGACATTTGTGTCGTTTTGCGCGGTGATTTTAACCCAAAAGGAGAGCATATGACAGGTCTGGAAAAGCGTTTAGGATGTTGTGAAGAATCATTTGAAGGTGTGACGGGCTCCAAACATGTATGGAATTCCCAGATGTCTATAAAATGAGGGGTTAGGAAGGTCACGGAAAGGTGCAGCGGGTCAAAACCACCATTTTACAACCTTATACTGATTTAGAAAGAATCAAATGAAGGAATAATTAAGAATAGGCTAATCGACGTTAAAAAATACATTTAAAACCATACCATAAAAACCAGCGCGATCATCTCAGACAGCCGCTGGAAAGCTGCAAATAATTTTTGCTGTATAGAATTTGAAGATGTCTTGTTTTACGAGACTCACGAGCAGGGTGTGATTCGGGTTAAGACGGAATCTGGCGCTCGTTTCTGCTGTCACTGATCTCTCCAAACGCTTGCATCGGTTTCCCGTCAGAAACACGTTCACATGACGCCTGGAGGAGTTTGGGCTCTTGGCGAGGGAGAGAGAGCGCAGGCACCTGAATCAAACTTATTTCTACCAGATGTTGCTAATATGTTTCTTAGCGTCATGTGAATAGAACAGATGTTGAGTTGCACAGACCCGCCTTCACTTGCACGCAGTCTGACACGAATATCCTTTGAGTTTCTTAAAAAGAAGTTAGACTCGATGGGATAATGATGGGATGATGAGCCTGGTTTTTGAGGAATGCGTGTGTGTTTTGAAATGCAGGCAGCAAAAGGACGTGGAAAAGCTAAGGATTCGTTTTCCTCTGCTTCGGGTTTCTGTTGGGAGTTTTGTAGGGATTTCATCATGCATTGAGGATATACTTCTGGTAATTATTTATCTAAAACGCCGATTCTCATTTGCATCTGGACTCGTTTTGAACTCGGTGTGTCTTAAGTTATCGAGCTGAACTGGATATGCTGCAATTTTGCGTTTTGGCATGTGTTAATAGTGCTTTTTGACTAGAATAAAGAAAGTGTGAATTATAATTTCGAATAGAATGTTTCTGTTTTTTTTAATTCATGCTCAGAAAACAAATAAAAAATACCTTCACTGCAAAATCAAGCATGCATTATCACTGCAGTTTATTTAGGCCTTCTGCATGATCGTCTGAAATGTCATGAAGTGCAAAAAGCAGGAGTGAATCCGGTTAAACGATCTGACGAACGTCGATGTAAAAGCATCAGTTCTGACCTGAGTGTGTGATCTGATGGCTTTGCCATCATAATTTAAAATCTAAAGGCCCTTGAAGACATTAACGCACCAGCATGAGTTCAAAGTGAGAAACCTGCAAAATGTAAATAATGATAAAAAAAAAAAACATTAAAAGTATAGAGAAACATAAATGACAAATGTTAGATCATGTCTTATATTTGCATAAATTCTGCTTTTAAATGAACTTCATAAATAAACATGGTTTGACTGAATTAAACGGTAACATTTATATAATAAAAATGCATATTAAACAGAATTGCACTGAAATTGTTAACAAAACAAGTCATAAGAAAACAGTGAAAATTCATTATTTTCTGTTTATTTTATCATGCTTTGATGTGGGAAAATGACACTTTAACAGGTGTCATTTCTAATAAATATCTTAAAGGGGTCATATGATGCTGCTAAAAAGATGGCAGCATCAACACTACTGCTGTTTCTGAAACCACGCCTTCTTTCTTTGCGTGCACGTTTGGGCGGCATTATGCTAATATTTCCACATAGTGAGGTAGATATGTTTGGGGCGTGTTAGAACGAGCCGTTTTAGGTAGGCGTGGCTGACTCTTCACTTTTATAAAGAATATCTCTTTGGATTTGAGACTTTAGTCTTTGCAACTTTACAGATCTTCTTTATGCACCAAGAGCTTGTAACACTCCAAAGAGAAAGGACAAATTGAAATCGCATCATATGACCCCTTTAAATCAAATCCAAAGTTATTTTTCCATATTTATGTATCAGTGCAGATATCCGCACTGTTGATGCATAGATTTTTATAAAAATCTATGCATCAACAGTGCGGATATCTGCATGCTAAGATAGCTTTTGTTATGTATAATAACTGAGAAAAATAAAGATTTGCTAAATCTGATGGTATTTTTGTAGGAAAGAGAAAAACAATGCAGATATCCGCACTGTTGATGCATAGATTTTTATAAAAATCTATATAATAACTGAGAAAAATAAAGATTTGCTAAATCTGATGGTATTTTTGTAGGAAAGAGAAAAACTTTTGAGTTCATTGTGACATTCAATTTAAAATGCTGTTTTTAATGATGATGTGAACATGTGCTGAATATAAAGATACTCACAGTAACCTTTTTAATACCTCCAAAGACCATTAAAGTATTAGGTTGCTATGTCAAAATTTAATGATTTTAAAATTGTATTGTCTCTTTACTTCGCAGTAAAGTCAAACTCAACAGAATAAGATGGTTAAAACACAATACTGACTTCTGAAGACTCTTTGATGCTGCAGTCAGTGAGGTCAAAGGTCAGCTGTAGATGTGTATTTTCAGACTGTTGGGTAACACCATTGTTGAGATGAGATTGGCCACAACATGCTGCTTTAATTTCGTGTCTTTTCGACTCGATGGAAACTTCTAGCACACAATGATGCCTCAAACTGCTCAGCTCAACAAAGCGTGTCAGTCCTGGAAGACTAGATTAATATATGATTTGATTCGAGCGAAGGCCTTTTCATCTCTGATTTACTGGGATCTGTAAACGGAAACACATGGATTCAGCTCTTTCATGTCACTGCAGCTCCGATCCTATACAGAGGAGATTCTGATCATATTTAAATGATTCTGAGCAGCCAGATCTTGTGTGCCTGTTTTAATCGTGTCCAGAGATTCATCGCACTACATTTCCTTCATATTCAGTGCAGACGGAGAACTGCAGAGCATTCAGCCACAGCAATATTGTGCCTGGAATGGCATGCTATCATACTCATATAGTATTGTAGTATGTAACATATATGTATTGTGCACAGCATGGTCATTTTCTATGTGCATGGAGAACCTTTGCATGCTTCATGTTAATAAAAGCCCTGTCTAAGTTCTGCAATAAAAATGGGGTTTAGTTTTTTAGTAGAATGCTAAAAACTCAGATTACCACATTTCAGAGTTTATTTTTTTCCCCTTTTTGACCGTCGATTGTTTTGATGCAAACAAGCCTCCCAAATAAGAAACTCAGTGTTGAAATATTAAAAATGCACAAACATGACCAACCAAGACATTTTATTGGTGTTAAAAGTCGTCCCACACAATAACAGGAATGCAAGATATTTTCAGAACTTGAGCAATATGAAAGCATTGGCTGCATGTTGTTTTGTGGTAGGCATATTTGATTAATTTTTTTGCAATGAAGCCTCTTACTGTGGTATAATGTATTTCAGATAAACCCACCTCTAAACAACACATGAAAACAAAACAAAAAAGTTGGTTTCTTCACATGTCGGTCAACTTAGTGGCGGTTCTTGGCTGGAATAAGGTGCAAATTGAACCCAACTTTATGTTGCAAGTTTAAAATTTTGCTTACACAAGGGTTGTGGCTTAGTATTTGGACTGGTAAACCAAAAGGTTGTAGGTTCAAACCCCAAAAGGAGTGATTGTGCCTGTAGTAAAAAAGTTGTGTAAATCACTTTTGGTGAAATAAAGAATAACATGTTGTAAAATAAAATCGAATCTTTCTTATAAAGCCTCACAAAAGTGCTTTAGAACGAGGCATTACGCCAAAACCAGACTCTAAGTGTCTGGTCACGGCCTGCCTTGCCACAAGCGGTTTGTCCTGGTCCTCTGGATTGGCAATATAATAGTGGGGTTATTGTGTAGATGTACCACCCAGGCAGCTGTAATGCCATCTGCGTCACGTGACCGCCAGCCCACATCTACCTGCCCATCAGCCGGCGTGTGGTTTCTGACAAAATAAACAGGCAATCAGAACGCAGTTCAGTGTACACACAGACATCACACGCTTTCATGCAGGATAAAAGAGCTGTTGTCTGATATTTATTTGTGTTTGCTGGTTGCCCCCTGAAGTAAGTTTCAGCCTGTCTGAAGAGGGTAAACACAATGTAAAGTAGAGAGAAAACTCCGCTTTAAATCATCCTGTTGCTGTCCAGCAGATTTCAGTGATGGAGAGGGTGTTTCTTCAACTGTGGGCGCTTTGGGAAATTAAACTCCCATACAACACATTTCAGATGCGCTATAGTTTGTTTAATTTGACTACTAAGAATGTCCAGCAGTGAATCTACATGCATCACGAATCAATCATGTCAGTTTTCTCTTGAACTATCATGAAGAAAATGTCATTTCCACCCATATTAAATAATGTACGTTTCTTCATGTTCTGTTGTGGAAATGTTGGTTGGACAT